TTTTTAGGTAACTTCCATGCATTAGCTTCTCCATCAAATTCTTCTTCAATCTCCATGCTTTCATTAGATTCATATAGGGTTCCTAATGAGGAAGTTTTTGAGGTTGTTCCTATAGAGGTTGTTGATGTTAATGCCTCTTTCATCATTCCTATGGCTTCCTCTTCGAACTCATCTTCTGACTCATTACTAGATTCATCCCATTCATAAATACTTTCACTATCTAATATTTCACTTCATAACTCACTTCCAGATATTATTTCTACTTTTAAATCCAATTCTTCAAATGCTTTTATTATCTTTATACCCTTTTTTGGATTCTTCCTTAAGCAGTTAGGAGCTATATGCCTTTTCTCCTTACATATCCAACATGTGCATTCCTTTGGTTTTGCAATGGGCATGGTGGATTCTTTTTATAATTTAAAAAATTTTTAGATCTTTTTCTCTTGAAGAATCTTCCCTCTTTAAAATTCTTTTAATTTCTTTTAGATTTATCCAATTTATTAAAATATTTTTTTTTTCTTCTTAACTTCAGAACCATACTGTCCAAATATGTCTACTAGATATCCACAACTGCTCCTATCCATACTATCTTCTAATCTCTTCTTAGAATCTTTTATTACTAAGCTATTCGTACAATATTCTCTAAATACCTTTTTAACAAATTATGCTCTTAACACCAGCGTGTCTATTATCTCATTTTCCTTTTTTAAATATTTTTCATATCTCTCCATTATTAATTTGTTCCATGGGTCTGATAACTTTTGAAGGAATTGATCTATCCAACAGGGTGTTTTTGAGCTTTTTAAATTATAGCAATTGTAATATCCCTAAATTTTTTGAAAATTTAAAATTTAAGTTAAGGACTTATATGGTATGGATTATTATTGTTGGGCCTAATGGTTAAAATTCACAAAGCTAAGGGGGTTAAAAGTGAAAATCTAGTGAATAAAAAGGGCTGAGACTAATTTTTCCATTTTTCTCTTGGCCTCTTACATGAATCTCCCACAATTTTCACCAGAATTTTCCTCCAAAGCCCTAGCTTGTGCCTAGTCCCTTCTTATTAGAAATCAGGTGAGATTTAATTCTTTTTCTTCCTCCAAAATTTGATTTAGAGATTTATGAGCTTATGGTTTTCAAAATCAAGATCAAAATCTAGATCTTGTTGCTAATATTCCTCAATCTTTTGGTTCATGTTGGGTTCTTCAGCAGTGTAAAGGAGGCTGCCACTTTCAGCACTTTCTGGTAAGAAATCAGCCATTTTTCTCATCTTTTCTTCCTTGCTTTGTATTAGGTTAACTCAAATCCTTTAGGGTTTTTAATTTTGGGATTTTTCTATAGTTTTCCTCCTTCGTTTTGCCCTAGTGCCACCAGATCTAATTCTTGTTGCTAGAAATTTTGACAACATGACCTTGTAGTAGTGTTTTACCCATAAGTCTTTCTGTAGTTATCAAATTAAATCCATTTTTAATTCTATAGAAAGTTAAGAGATAGCCCTACAACTTTTCTATTGGACGTTTAACCTAATTAAGCTATTTTCATGGTTAAAACTCTGTTGCAAGTTCAATTCCTGTTGACTGACTTAATTGGAAACCTGACCTTATGTTAGTATTTTGGCCATAACTTTCTCTATAGAAGTCACATTGAGATGAATCTTGATCCTATAGAACACTAAGATATAGGGCTATAATTTATTTGTTGACCACTCAACCCAGATTGATCAATTTCTGGGTGTAAATGCTACTAGAAATTCTAGTTCAAAATTTGACCAGAATTGCTCTCAAAAGTACCCAAAAATTTGCTTTGTTTTCTGCTTTATTCCCACTGTACCTACTGCCATATTACATCATGATTTTACTAGATTTTTAGTTTCTGTTTTCCTGCTCTAAAACCCCTTGTTATTGCTTTGCTTTGGCTGCCTTTTTGCTATTGCATTTTTGCTAGAATGCTGCCTAGTTTTGGCTTGTAATCTACCCTGTTTTGCTGTTGTTTTTTTGCCTAGAAATCCTTGTTGTTTAGGGATTTTTCTAAGCATTTTGGGATTGTTTTAAATGGCAAAAACCCCCACCTTGCTATCCAAAATTTCTACTATCTAAGACAATTTTGAGCTCAGTTTCTCACACTTTTTCTAGTTTGTTTTGTTCAACAAATCTACTTGGTAAATCCACCATATGCAATGTCTTTTTGGAGTTGTTTTAAAAAGGGTATAAGTGATTAGGATGCATAGGAAGTAGTTGTTTCTTCGGTTAGGAAACTTCATATTGGCATTGGGAACCAAATCTATTAAATGGAGTATGTTGTAATCTTGTTTATTCATTTGATGAGGTATAGGTTCTAAATCCCTTTCACTGCTTGAGATCTTGAATTCTAACTTGTTGTATACCTACAAGACAAGGTAAGTAAAATTCTAGTAAATACCCTTGGATTTTAAGGTAAATGTTTTAAAAGCATATTTTAAACTGTTTTTGAGATGGTGGCGGGACCGAACCCAATTTTTATTAGCACCTAAGCATGACTAATTTGAAATGAAAGTTATTATTTTAATTAAGTTGAACATGCCTACATGGAGCTTTCTTATTTGTTTTGAAAATTTGAAATTGGTTTTGTGAATTTTGAATTTTACTATTAACTCCTGCATGGTTTTGTCTCCAATATAGTCATGAATTTTGTTATCATGCCAGTGGGAGTTAAATGCTGATACATGTCGAGATGTATTTCTGTAGAGCTGGTTCATCTTGCCAGTAGGAGAGTACATTGGTATTTTTGCTATCCGGCCAGTAGGAGAGTACACTAGTATTTCTGCTATCCGATCAGTGGGAGAGTACACTAGTATTTTTGTTATTCAGCCAATTGGGAGAGTACACTCACCATGACTAATTAAAGGGACCATTATTGAGTTTTACTCTGTATTAATGATCTATAACTGAGATTTTTTTCCTATTTAAAATTTAAATGTTTACTTGGCATGCTTTAAATTTCAATGAGAGCTATCCATATTTTTACTTACTTATTTATCTCATGTAGTTTTTCCTCATCCACCATTTCAGGTAGTGAGATTGGAGACGTGAGAAACCAAGGGGAGTGATAAGTTAGAAGGCTAGCCATTTGTATTCTGAACATAGATTTTGAGATATAGATCATTCTTTTGTAAGCTAGATATTGATCTAAGTTTATGTGGATTGTTAGTTATGAATTTAGTAAGTTCCCAGCCTTACGCATTTGTGGGATGCTCTTACAAGTGTACGGCATTTGTTTCGCTCCCGATTTTAGGGGCGTGACAGTAATGCTTTCGAAATTCACAATAATATTCATCAAACCAACCCATCTTACATATTCTTAGCTTTGTTAATTTCTCTCTTATGTTTTTTTCAAATAATCCTTCAGTATCCTATTCTCCACAAAATTCTTTCTTAAACTCTCTAGCCATCCAATATGCTAATTTTAGCTTTTCTCTTATCCTAGCATCAAAGTTTGGTGCATTTTTATATCTTTCCTAAAAATTCTTAGAATTCCTTGAAGTGTTGCTTCTAAATATCCTTTAGCAAATGCCCAATCCCAAGCAACAGTTCCTTTGACTACTATATCACTAGGCTACGCCCAATCTTCTATTTCTTTCTTTGGACCAATGGCACAAATTATATCTAAGTATACACTCGTGGTTGAAACCACATACATTTTTCTGTCTATTTTTTATAGGAATTCATATTTAATAAAGTCTTATACTTTCCTTCTCTACTATTCCTTCCATCTTTCCAAGCTTTGTTTCTCTCATAAAATTTTGACCATTTCCTATTAATATTTCTTGGATAAACTTAGGAGGTGCGTGTCCTTTCCTGAAGTTTTTCTTTCTTCAATTAGTCCTTATATGCTTTAACATAACAATTCATTACTTCTTCATCATTTAATTCTCCTTTTCTTCCTTTTTACCTGAAGGTCTATCTCATTCAAAAGGGTCTCCTTCTTCCTTTTTTGTCATTTTTATGTCTTCTAGAGGGAATTCTAATTCTTGCAATTTATGTTTTCCAATACACCATGCCTTCAACATCTTCTACCTTTTCCCAATTCTCAAGGATTTCTTTCTTAGTCATACTTTCTCCTATTGGTTTTAGATGCTCATGTGGGTTTAACTTAAACTTTCCCTAGTCAAACATCCACATCTCACGTTCCTTATCTCCTTGAACTTCTTTCTTCATCATATTTTTAAGATTTTCTTTTAAAGATTTTAATAATATCTACTTTCTTCAGTTTGATCTAATCTCCCAATTTCATTAACATTTCTAATAATTTCTCTATTTTTTCTACTTTTGTAGATACATAATTTAATAAGTCTACCACAAAGTTTAATACTCCTTCGACATCCTTAGAAGTGTTATGATTGCTATGCTTAAATTCTTTGGATTCAGAATCTAATTGATAGTAATTAATATATGTATTCCAAAGTGTTATTTTAAGATTTTTACTTAAAGGACTCAACTACAAATATGCCTTTTTATATTTAATTGGTGTTTTAACGGAAGGATTATTCCTCTATATACTTCTGTTGACGGGTGAATACTCTCAAAGATAACGAGTTTAAGGATGTTTAAGGGGTTTATGCCAAAAAAAAAAAAAATTGCAGGCGATTTTAATCAACTAAAGAATATGGGGTGATTTTGTTCAACTTATGAGTTAAAATGGTCATTTCAATCAAAGAAAAAAAAGGTACATGGGAGTATTTTAATAAGTAAAAAAAAATTAAAATGTTATAATATTAAAAATGTTAAAATATTCCATCATAATCATCAAACATATAAAGCATATTATTAACCATGATTTTATCACATTTATCATTTAACTATTATTAAATATCATGATATTTTTAATATCAAAATCTCTTAATTTCTCCTTTTTCCTTTCAACAAAGTTCGGAGAGTACAAGTTTTGAGATACCCTTTCTACAACATGTCTTACGTTAAACATATAATTAGTTTGAAAACCTATTATGCAGTCGGACTGCAAAATAAAAGACCCTAATTAGTTTATTAAGCCATGATAATTGGCTCGGCATACTCTTAACAACTACTAGAAGTATTAAGTTAAAGAATCATGAGAACGAGGAGACACAAATCAACCAAACCAGACTTCTGTCAAAATGATTTATAAAAGTAGGTTTTGTACTTGTACTTTGCCATCTTGCAATTATAGCGAACTACTTGCCAAGAACAAAGAGTTTTTTACTCTTTCCACAGAACAGAAATTTGAGAAAGTTATATGCTCTTACAAAATTTTTATGGTCCAATCATCTGCAATCCTCACTCCAGGCTTGCGAATCGTTACAGCAGCGGGGCCAGCATGTTCTCCCAGTCGAAGTGGTCCCATTTCAATTTCTGCCTTCTGATTTCCAGGTTCAATAAGAGCAATTTTAGGTCCCGGCAAATGTCCAAGGAGAATAATCCTTTCGATAATGCAGTCAGTAGAAAAACTAGATTCACCACGAGTGGGTACAATATTTGAAGATGTAAGCTGCCCATTTGAGAACACAAAGTGGCGTTGGATATAAGCCCCCTGCTTAAAGTCAAAGCTCTTCCCGTCATCTAGATAGAGTTCACCTTCGGCTGTTTGGGAGCTGTTCAGGGCTATCACCTAAAGAAACAGAATGATGTCAAAATAGTACAGGACCTGCTGAAAGAAAAATAATTTTTTTGGTACAACTGATGAAGAGCTACACCTCATCTCTTTCCTAACCCACTACTCACAAGTCCCAAGGTTCAAACTTGAGACTTCTAACATGGAGGCTCAATCTCTAAACCATTAGTGCATCCCCAGAGGACTCTAAAAGAAAAATAATTGGCCTAAAAGTATTTTAGGCAACGGCAATAACCATGGGCAAAACAACCTGAAGACAAATCCCATGTTGCATGCAATATTATTCCCTCGAGAGCTCTTTGAACTAATCAGATACACTTCAAAACAACAGTTAACCACAGGTTTTAGACCTTAAATCAATTCAAATATTTTAACAATAGCAACTAGTGCTAAAATTGCCAGCAGTCAGAAACATTTAACATAACCCTTTCCATATTCCAAATCCCTCATTAAGGTCCTAAAAGGTCAAAATGTATAAATAATGTAAATGAATATTGCAAGGTAAAATCAAATGGAGATATATATTATATAATATATTCATAAGAACAAAAAAAGGGTCAAATTTGTAAGAATTACATACCAGTGTATAAGGATCATGGACCATCTGTGTGGAGCTCCGTCGGAACCGATCTTTTCTTGGTAGAATGGTTCCAGCCCTTTGGAAAGCAGGAATGCTATCTTCTGATACTTCAAGCTTGTGGGTAGTGCCTCCCTCATATGCAGTTCCAGTTCTAATGTCATACCATGATTCTTTTCCAGGTAAATACACTGATGCATATTTAGCCCGCTGGACAAGGGAAAAGATTACTTCAGTTAAGTAGAGAAGTGAGAAGAAAAATACTGGAGAAAAATAAGAAACAGAGGACACAAAATATCCTGTCACCAAAGTATTGGTACCTCAGTATAGACCCCTTGTACCAAAAGACTATTCCCAACCATGAAAGCTTCATCATTGCTGAAAGTTGCTTCATCAGTCGGGAACTCCATCCATAAAGGACGCACAACAGGAACACCAGAAACGTTTGCTTCTCTAAATAATGTGTAAAAATATGGAAGCCACATGTAACGACCACGTATGGCATCTCTTATAAGTTCCATATTTCGCTGACTGAAACATCAACAAATTAATTTATAAGAATAACAGCCCTAGCTTTCCACAATTTGGAAAGATAAAAAAAAAAAACATGCAACAAATAGTATTAAAAATAACAATGCATTCATGTATTGCTCCTTAACTGCACCATTGACAGAAAACATAGGGAATTTTCAGTGTTAAAATTCCCATACAAGAACAAAATTCAAGGTGGAAAACTGAAAATCACAATTTCTACTTCTAATCCAAAATTTTGCAGAGGGCTTAATAGTTGTATCCAAATAATTCAAATGATAAATGTACTTTGAAATGATTACAATTTGCGCATTGGAAGTAAAACATAACCACCAGAACTTAACAACCTCTAAACTTGATTTCCTTCCTCTCCCACCCCACAGATAATCTCCGGATAGAGTTAAGATGATATCAAATTTTTGGTAGGGTAACACAAAGCAACAATATTCTAATGAAAGTGAAAAATCAATTTTTTCACTTTGTACGGTCAAATAGCAAATAATCACAGGAACTATAATTAATGCCAATATTTTTAATGTGGAAATCTCACAAGGGAAAAGCCACAGGACCTAGATAAACTTACACCATGAAAATAGCAGTCATAGATTTTCCCTCTAGATAGAATTAGATGATTACATTTAACAAGAAGAATCTCGGATCAACAAAGAGAAGTGGTCTCTTTGATTCTAGAGATTAAGATCCAGTTTCCCTAGGTGTTTCAACTAGTATTTATACAAAGTTAAACTCAATTCCCATTGAAGATAAGGATAAAAAGGGTCGTTTCTCCAGGCAACAGTGTCAACAATTTCTTCATTCACATGCTTAAATTGACTTTGCAACAAATTACATGAGCAAACCCTGACTTAAAATGGCTAACTCAACAATCTCCCTGCTCAACCAATCCAGGGGTTCCACTGAGCCCACTTGATTCCAGCAAAACTCAAATTTTCCTTTCCACCAAAGACTTTGTCATCATAAATGCGGGACAAGTTAGGGGGTATGGTGGACTTGGGGATTTAGGGTGCACTTGGGATTGCAGTTGCAGTTGGGAGCATTTTTATGTGGTCATACAGTTCTTTTAGATATATGTGTATTTGGTAATTTTTTTTTCAAACTGCTTTTTCTAAAAGCTATAAAAAGGCACAGCAGATCTATAGTAATCTTATGTATAAAGCTAGAAGCCTCATTTTGGAGCTTTATGACTATGGCTTTTATAAAGAATACCTAATATTTAATATAATTACAAAATTACCCATTAAAACCCAACTTCGTATAATTTAATTACATCATAATTTATAATATTTAATAATGATAACAAATCTAAAAAACCTAAATTATTAAAAAATAGTAAATATTATCTATTTTAATAATTATATATCTTACAATATTTTTTTAATTTTAATTAATAATTAATAAAATTTACCATATTTCATCCATAATACTTTTAAAAAACAAATAACCAAACACCAAAATAACTTTCAACCACACCTATAGCACAGCACAGTTCAACACAACCACAGCCACAGCTATAGCTACAGCACTTCACAGCAATCCTAAGCGCACCCTTAGTCATTGTTTAGAGCAACCATATACTGTGAACAGTATGCATAAACAGTGAAATAGGGTTTAAGTGGCTATTTAGCGTATGGAAAGGAGGAAAAAGAAAACAGAAACTACCAGGAAAAATAAAATCCTAGGAATCACACCTAGGTTTCTTTAGACATCACACTTAAAGAGGATAAACACCCTTAAGCATCACCCCTAAGGTTGGTCGCATTAGACAACCAAGAATGCATCACACAATCTCAAAAGAAAACTCTTGCAAATTTTTGAATATTCAATTGACTTCACTGAGTAATAAAATAACTTACAAGCATATTCTAAGATTCCTATATTAACAAGAAAATAGAGTTCTTATTCTAATTAGACTAGGACTTAGACTCACTAAAAATACTAAGATAAAGGCTCTTAAATAAAAGATCTAATCCTAATAAAACTAGGAAACAAATAATAATCTAAAACAACACTTGAATAATAATAATTACATAAGAATCCTAAAGAATCTAAATAACTATTTAATAGCTTCTTCTTGTTCCTCATCACATATCCAACCTATTCCCATTGATATGGACCTTCTCAAGTTGCAACAACTTCCCACCCAAGGCATTTCAAATCCAATGATACTTCATATCAATATGTTTTGCTCTAGATAAAACAGCAGGACCTTTTTACTCAGCTAAATGACTATTTGGCTATCACAATAAAATGTGAACTAGTCTTACTCGAGGACCAACTCTCGAAGGATTTCCTCAACCAAAACAATTTTCTGCCAGCCTCAATTATAGCCACATACTCAATGTCTCCAACCATGACACAGAATCCCCAAAATAAGTGATATCCAAATTAAGACTTCCTAGCATCAATGTCTCTAGTCATATCTACATTGGTATGCCTGTCAAGCATAGGTTTACCTTTTTCCAAAATATAGACAGATGTCTAATGTACCTCTGAGAAAACTGAAAATCTATTTCAGGGCTAACCAATGTTGCTTTATAGGATTAGAGAAGTAAAGTGTTGACTAACAATTCTAGCTGCCTGAGTAATATCCATCTTAGTTAACACAAGTGTCAATTTGGAAGATTCTTGGGCCAAGGGGACAATAGAAAATCAAAGAACAAGGCTTGAGTGAAAGGGAGTCTACTCACACCTCAGTGGAGTCTGACTCTATTTTCCAAAGGGTTCAGGAAATCAGCAGAATCAAACATCAATCCTTTGGAGTTGACCATTCAACAAATATTGTGCAGATTTCAATATTTTTAGATTTAAAATTTTTCCTTTATAATTTTGGACTTTATTCCCCTTGTATTTCTCTCCTATTTTCTACAGCAATCATTCCTATTTATTTGTAATCTGTCCATATAACTAACTCTGCAAGTAACTTTAGATACTGCTTTTACATGGTATGTGAATGATAATTGGAAGCTCCTCTTTCAATACATAATTATTGTTTAGTAGTTTCATTTGATAACCAAAAATCAAATGTCATTCATATGCTATATAAAACCATTACCTAAAATTTATGTAGGGACGTGATATAGATAGATAAATTAATAGGTACAGAGGGAGTAGCAAGTCTTTTAATTAGTTTTTTAATTCATCTAAGATTTCATTAGATTACTTTCTTATTAAGACTAGGTTTTTATGAGATTATACTCATGGAAGCCTAGTGGCCTCTCTAGTTTTTGCTATCAATAAAAATTCAGAATTAATCAAAAAAATATCTCTAGTTTTTTTGGTTTTTGGTAGATTTTAAGAGTTTGTGGTGGATTCTAGATTTAATGAGTCTAAACATGTTTTAGGCTTATTATCCATGTTTCAAGCTATGTCAATTAACCAGAGCAGCAATGCCCCATTCTCCAAGCCATGAACATTTTGGACCTTGTGACATTGGTAGATCACCATAAGCCACCAGAATCAAAAGATCAGCAAGTTGCAAAGAAACTATAGGCACCTAAAGATTTTTTTGAAGAAGAAGATACAATTGGGGAAAGCATGTTATCCAAATGGTTCATCTTTGCTATTTAATATAATGAAGACTTAGCCCAGATCAATAATGCTAGAATTAGGACAACTCTTAAGAGTTTTAACATTGGGAACACAGGAAAAAGTAGTGGAGAAATGCTAGAGTAACCATAGAAGAGAGAAGTCCAACTAGAAGCAATTTAAAGTTTTCACGATTGATTGAAGCTTGGCCTGATTGGCTCCTAATTGGTATATGCAAACTTATTAAAATCTCAATTCTTGGGTTAAGGTTACATTGGTCAAGGATTTTGACTTTTGACCTTTTTATATGGTATGCCCAACCATTAACCAAGAAAAAGAAAAAGAAAATGAAAATGAAAAGTTTCAGGGGTCCCAATCTATGAACTTTTAAAATGAAATTTGATGTTATTTGGTAAGTTTAAAAGGACAACAGGCCCATGGTTCAACTATGAATACTATTTATGTACTTAATTGAGAAGCTCTCTCATGTTCAAATAATATGAAAACTTCAAAAAAAAAAAAAAGAAAAAAAAGAGAAAGGGATTGATTTCAAGGTAATGTATTATGGAGATGCAAATCCATTAAAAGCAGTCCTTGATGACATGGGACATGAATATCAACATAAACAGTATAATGTCCTTGAGAACTTCAGATTGTATTTTATCACTATAAAAAAGCTTTATTTATCTAAGCAAATATCTATATGTTCTATGCACTCACAGATATGATAAACCAGTGGTGCAAGGACCATGATCAAATAGTGTAGAAAACTTCTTACCCAAATAACCAGGGCTCTCGTCTTTTAGTGTCCTGGTGAGCATGAGCCCTAAAGAAAGGATAGTAAGCACCTAGTTGATACCAACGAACTAATAACTCAGGTTCAGGATTGCCAAAAAAGCCACCAACATCTGCACCTGTGAAATATTATCTACCATTATCATCTGTGAGGAAAAAAAGAACCATTCCTATTAAACAAAATGGATCTTGCATACCGGAAAATGTCACTGCAGTAAGACCAAGTGTCAAAATCATCGAAACTGAGACCCTTAGCTGATCCCAATCTGCTGTGTTATCACCCGTCCAGACTGCTCCATACCTTTGACTTCCAGCAAAGAATGCTCTTGACAAAACAAAAGGCCTGTCCTTTCCATCTTCACGCTTTACAAGTCCATCGGCTGTCGCCATGTGAAAGTAATATCCATAGGCATTGTGTAACTCCCGGCTTTCAACAGTCCCAAGATGTAAAGCATCTCTAGGCATTGTCACCTAGTCATAGCACAAGTTTAGTCAATTTACTCTAGCTGCCACTCTGTCGTCATTTCATGGACCAATTTACTTGTCAAACTTTATGGGAGGTGATCCAATTTACTTGTCAATTTCCATTTAAATAAAATATTAAAATCTTTTTTTATATTTGTCTCCTATTAAGACTTCATAATTACTCTTTTAAAAGAAAATTAATAATTACTCCATTTTGAAAAAGAACACCTTTCCAAGAAAAAGTGTTAAAGTTAAATAACAGAACATATGAAATTTTAATTAATAATAATTGCGTTGATCATAGATTTTTGGATTTTCTCTATAAACATGTTGAGCAAAATTGTGACAAGTAAATTTTTCAGAGGGAGTATTTAATTCCAAACACCTATTTTGTACTATCCAACAATAAAATGAGAGATTTTTCATTTTTATCAGAAGTTATCCTGAATTTGATCGGTACAAGCAACAACAAAGGATCCCTTGCATTCATGAAAATAGTTATGACTTATGAGTTTCTCCTCCATGGAAACTGAGAGATTTTCCTTCAACTTAATGATTAATCATTTATTTTACTTATAGAACCTAAGACAAAAACATAACTCACACATTAAATTATAAGAGTAGTTCAACATGCATGTAGCTTAACATGCTCATGCAGTAGTCGAACCCTATAAGCAATGCAAAGTTATAAACTAGCAATTATAGACACAAGCATTGTGGACATTGTCATGATGAATGATGTGTCCTTTTAATTCAATAAATACAGAATTTGAAAGCACATATGCTTTACGCATAATAGCTGATCAAGTTAGACCCATTGGCAATAGTCAGCATGGCTGCCCACGTATGATTAGAAAAGGAAATACAAACAACAAAATCTCAAACGGAAGAAAGAAATTAGCAATAAGCAGCATACCTCTGGTCCATTAAAGACAGAAGGCTCATTCATGTCATTCCAAATGTATAATGAAGGAGTTGAACCAACATAATTTTCATAGAAGAACTTCTCACCCCACCATGTCCTTATCTCTGGATTTACCATATCTGGATAAGATGAAGAACCAGGCCAACACCACCCGTCAAAATCCTTGCCTGATGCATCCTTGACATAGTACCCCTTCTGGGTTGCCTCTTTGTGCAAGGAAAATGACTCATCTCTCTTAATATGCGGATCCACAATTGTAACCATATGTCTACCTTTTGCTGCCAACTTCCTTTGCATCTCTTCTGGATGCGGGAATAACAATTTATCCCATGTAAAATACCTCTTGCCATCAGTATGTTCAATATCAAGCCATAAAACATCATATGGAATATCATTCTCATCAAACTTAAGATCAACATTCTCTACATCCTCCTCATCCCTGTAATTCCACCTACATTGATGATAAGCTGTGGCAAACAACTGTGGCATAGATGGGGTACCTGTCACACTAGTGTACTGTCTTATAACATCCTTTGGCCCTGGTCCGACAAAAAAGAACACATCCACAATCCCAGCCTCACTCATCCAAAAAGTATCAATCCTACTTTGTGATGTGGGCATTGAAATCTGAGGCTCAGCATCCCATCCACTTGCTAACACATCAATCTGCATCTCTGCAGCATTCAGCCAAAAAAATCCAGAACTTTTTCCCGATTTCCCATGAGAAACCATGAAGGGAATAGATCCATAAAGCCCAAATGGTGAATCATGAATATACTCAAACACATCCAAGTTAAACAATCTATACGGTTCAGATTCCTCAACCCCAGGTCCTCTAGTGGGTTTCAGCGCAAAACTAGTAGCATGCTCAGGTATTCCATAAACAAAATCAGATCCATAGAAAGAGACATCGAAACTAACCGACTGTGGACCATACGGCCTTGTATCAGTGTGTCCTCTAAAACTTTCCTCCCAATCTTCACCCTCTTTTTTATCTCTCAACTGCTCAAAATCAAACAACCCGTTGGAATTTAAAGAAACTATGCGTCGGTTACCTTGTTCACCCCTAACGTAAACCTCGAATGGATCGTGCCTGAGCACCGCCTCGTAGCCATCAGACAAGAAGACCACTGAAGACAAGTCCGCATCACCATCGCTCCTCTCATCTGAAACTCTCTGTAACCAGAGCTTCTTGCTCTCAAATTCTGAGATAATAACATCGGAGACTTCAAACCGCTTCTTGGGAGACGCATCCTCGTCAATCTTAAGTCGCATAATTCCATTCTGGTAGACTGAGATGGAAAGAATCAACGGCTTGGCTTGATCTTGATCTTGACCTTGTGGAATTTTAGGAAGGAGCTTGGCAGTGAGTTCACCATGTGAGATGGTGACGTCCTGAGCTATCAGGTTGCAGGAGCCGGGCTTGCGGGATCGAGCGCGCTTGCAGAAGGGAGTCTGATTGCAGTTCCGGAACTCCTCTTTCTTCCAGGAAAGGACCGTTTGGATGGCGAGAAATAGTAGGAAAATTAGGATGGAGATTTTCATTGGCTTCATATGCAGAGTAATCAGGTCAGGGAAAATTTTGGCATAAAACCCTAAAGGTGAGCCACTGGAAGTAAGACAGAAGCTAATTGGTTATTTATGAGCAAGTGGATTTGGATCGAGACGACCCGAAACCTTTCTTGGCTTCGGTTGCGCCTTGGCATGGTTGGTTTGGGAGGTAACAGGTCGTTGGTTATTTTCATATGTTAATATTAAATATAAAATTAATATTTTTAATCTTTATTTTCTTTAATAAAATACTCAATTAGTAAATATTTGAATAAAGGCACTTACAAGGGAAGGGAGAAGGGAAAAGGTCCAACCCATGGGCGGGGAGAAGCACTTATAACTTGTTACCTTACTGCAAATATTCAAATGGTTAATGAAACTCAAATTCTTGATTAACCTTATCCAAATATGAAGATTTAGGTATAAATTATTAGTTTTCAAAGAACCAATTCCCCAACCTTCTTATATAAAATTACTTGACAACTTCCTACACTTTTTTTATGTCATTTTATAACTAAATTAAAAAAATAAATAATTCAACAAAATTCTAACAAAAATTTCGTTACAAAATTTACAAAATTCAAACACTCCCCTCACTGATGGCTTCCTCCCTCTCCTTAACTCTAATAGCTTCCTCTTTCAAACTCTATGATACCTTTCTTCCTCTCACAGGCTCTCCAATAGCTTCCAATGACATTTTTTCTAATGCCACAGATCTTTTTATTGACCATTTGGGGTTTGCTTCAAAGCACCCATTAAATGAGGTTGCAAGGAGGGTTACGATATAATCATTTATCAACATTGTAATTACATTGGAAAGTAAGTGTTAACCAACATTACTTACACGAGGGAGGAATTAATCAAAATATCTTGGTTTTGTATGAGAAAGTAAACAGGTGAAAGATGGTGAAGGAGAAATATCCATAATGAATTTAATTCATAATCCTCACACGTGGATGTTTACCTTATATTATATGTTTGTTAATTGATTCATTAAAAACATTGTTAGAAAAAATCTAGCAGGAGAAAACCATATTAAAGGAAAAAAGAGTGTAGTGCATTTAATTCTTCCCTTCAATTGAATATCTCTCAAGTGATGCAAGCCAATCATGTGTAGTAATTGCTTCAAAAATTCTGGTATGCAACAATTGAAATGATCTACAAGATGTCTACTCAAACTTAATTTGTTGAATACTTATTTCTAGCTTTTCAGAGTTCATTTATGGAAAAGAACTTTGGTGAAATATTGGTTCTTCCTTTGACGTATCTTCTCTTCATTTGTGCAATGCATGCGATATTGTCCTCGTATAGTGAGGTCAAACTTCTTGAAATTTTTGTTTAGCCACATTGTTTTTTGAACATGTTAGATATGCATTCCAAATTAGCCTTAAACAGTGCAACTATTCTTGGGTGTTTTGAGGATGTGGCCACAATACTTTATCTTGTTAAATGCAAGGTATTGGGAGACCACAAACAAATACACTACACTCTATGTTAGTCTAACAAATATTCAACATTATTTATCCAATTCATTTGGATTCTAAGTGCTTTAGATATAATAATCATATATTATGCTCTAGCTTTTCGTAACTTGAGATCACTGCCACAAGAGCTTTGTTCTATGATCTTACAACATGCTAAGTACATTGAGCTTGCTATGACTCTTTTGCGCCTTGCTAACACACAGTTACCACAATGGGTTCGTTGGATACCACCTACTGAGGGTTTTTACAAGTTGAGTTCAAATGGCTCTCACAAAAGTATGAATGGTGTTGCCAATGCTCAGGTGCTGATCAGGTATTCCTTAGGGCATAAGATAGTTGGATTCATGGTTAATATTGGACATGCTTCCATCTTGATAGCAAAGCCTTGGGGTATGAAAGCAGGACTTCACTTATGCCATGAGCTTGGGATTACTAAAGTGGTTGCTGAGATTACTAAAGTGGTTGCTGAGATGAACTCTCTCATTGCTATTCACTTTGTTCATGAAGGAAGAGAACTAGATAATTTAGTTGCTCCTCTCTTGTCTAATATCAGGAGCTTGATGACTAAATTGGAATCTTGCATACTACAACACACCTTGCAGGAAGTGAATGCTGCAGTAGATTTTCTAGCTTCTCTAGGACACTCTTCGCCTCTAGGTTTATGTATTTTGGACTCACTACCAAATGGGCTTCAACCTATCCTTTTAGGGGATCAAAATGGGGCTAGCTTCCTCCGGACCTAGTTTTTATGTTTATTTAGTTTTTTACTCTTGCTATACCAAAAAGACTCATATATTATTTGTCCCTCATAAAATAACAAAAACAATTTTCTAACCTGTACCCTAAGGACACAAGTTAAGCTTCATTAAATGCAATATTTGTAATTGATTTTGCTCAAATTTTCATACTAGATTCAATTAAAATAAAATATGAAATGTAAAATTAAAATAACAAATAATATTTGTACTCAAAATCTATAAAAGATATGAATATGATATGAACATTTGTAAAAAAATTAATTACAAATATTATAATAATTAGTGAGACTTAAGACATAGGTTAATTAAACTCATAACAAAATACAAATTTAATATTTTAATTCTATTCTAATAATTTTAATAGTCAATATAAATCAATATCTTGCTAATGAACTTTCAAAAAATGTTTGTTGGGGGGTACTGTGTATGCATAGAGGGGTTGATGAGTCAACAGTGATGATGATGTAAAAGTTAATTAAGATGCCAACTACGGGAGATGAGGAGGCTATTTTTGGCTTGCACTTGTTTCATGTGCAAGAGGCTATGTGCCACGAGCCATATTCTTTTGTCCAACAAAAATGGTCAGTATTGAGTTTTCCAACAAAGTCTTGAAAGGTAAATCTCCTAGCCAAGCCAGAAGAGCTGGGTAGCAATGATAAGGTTTCAAGAGCCCAATAGCGATTACAAAACTACCAAAAATAATGAAAAGGAGAACTACATTATGGTAGGAGCAACAATGATAGAGAATATATAAAGATCAAATGTTAAAACTTGAGAAGCACATTTATACATAATACATAGTAGCATAATAATAAACATAATAAATGTGCCCTCTATGATCCTTGACAAATACTCTTACTTTATAATGAGCAGCCCTCATGTTGTAGTTAAAAGCACAATAATCTTCTTCAAACTTCCACAAAACAAAAAGAATAAACTTGAAAGTAGTGATGAAAGAAGGATGACCATTGTGGGGGCTTATAAATGGAGGACTTGATATTGTTTCTTGATGCTAAGTCTATTGTTTGATCTTCTAATGCTTAAGAAAATAACCCAGAATTTGAAATTATAACATGTAGTCCCCTAACCATAACATTTTGCAAGTCTAGAGTGTATTTTGCAGGGCTGGAAGTGTAGAAAATATGAGAAAAATAAAGATTTCTAGGAGATTTTAGTGTATAACGTGAGAGGTTGAAGATAAAGGGTTCTTCATAGGAAAAATGGGGTTTGGTGTATGAAGAAGAAGTTGGATCCGCCTAATCTTTGAAAATCTATTGAAAAATGAAGGAAAAATCAAAATGCATATATATGCAATGGCATTTTGGTAATTTTGAGTTAGTGAGGCCAGAGTAGCCTAGTGAACCCACAGGTAAATTTGGGTTGGGTGAGGACAGCTATCGAGTTTTGAGTGAATCTAAGCACTGTTGATAGCTTTTTGAAGTAAAATTATGAATTGTCCAATAATTCCAG